CCTCGGACCATACCCTTAAAGTTGGGCCGAGATGTAAAGTATCTGGCCCTATTGTGATACCAGTCAGCGCCACGCATCCGTACCCGGTCCAATAAGCGTGACCGCCGTCGACGGCTTCTACGGTGCGCTTGGCCACATCCAGAACTTTCACGTACCCATCTCCGTAAGGGAAAAAGTCCTCATCGCTGTCTTTAATAGGGAGGCCGACACCACCATCATATTGCGCGTGGCGGGACTTGATGTAGATCCTGTGAGGGATGACTTCAGCTGAGGTAAAAGGAATGGCGGCCTACTTCGGATTACTGTAGAAGACGTTGAGAATGTGACTGCTATCTCTAGAGTTGCTCAGCTGCTGGTCGGCCACTAACTTCGAATAGTGAATGAGCTTGTCCATGTTTTGAAACCAAGTCTTCGCCTGTTGGTAGTTGAAATCCATACCCTGACGGAGGGTTCATACACTACACAATGAGGCACCTCTGAGGTATACATATCAGACAAGATAGCGAACATGACTCCGTGGGAAATAGCCCTCATCCCCGGGGGGCAGCGTAAAGAGGAAGCCGCTGTACATGCGAGGTTCCTCTCCCTTAGGTTGAGTCACATCAGAATCCGTTCGCCCTCACCATCGTTAGGATGATATTCTGGCTTTTCCCACTCCCTCCGTTCACTGGGTTGTAAGACTTAGCCTGGTCCAAGCATATCTGAGAGGGCCCACTGTCTGAGACTGAGCCTTACAGAGGAGGGCTCACATCGCGCAAGGAGTCCAACCTATGCGTGACGTTGACGTCCTCAAGCATGGGGTCATCCTGTACAGGTGGATCATTACCGAGCACATCGAAATTGAATCCTGTGGGAGGAGAGTACCTTGAGACTAGTTACCGTAAATGATAAAGCTTGCTACTCTCACATGTGCATGAGCCCCATGAAAATCCCATCGAAGTTGTCAACGGTATGTGAAATATTCCCTTTTCTCGTGCGATACACCTGTAGACTTTGACACCGTCCATTTTGAATGGGTACGGGATCACCATCTCAAGAGCTCCAGTAGCCTCTCTTATGGCCATGTCTTGAGCATCAGCTCGGCCAACAAGCCAACCATCGAAGCACATCTAGAAACAGTCTTGTGTCAGTACTCGCTACTACCACTACTACTACTACTACTACCGTAGTAGTACTACAGCACCTTTACCTCCCTAAAGGCCTTATTCTGGAAACTGGAGTGACCAAAGGGATCTATTTGCCATCCCACTCGAGGAGAGGCATCCGTAGAGAACTCTGTAGCGATCTTCAGTGCGCCTGAAGGTGGCCTTTAGCAAGCACGAGGCCAGCGTCGCTACCTGCAGTGTGTTGGTCGATGATATCAGTGTACAGAGTTGCGGCCTCATCATTCATGACCCAACCAGCATTGATGAACTCGAGTCGGCCTTCAGCCACCAGTTGCCTCACGATTCTCTTTGTGGCTTGGGACTGTCGTCTCCACCATCGGACGAAGAACGCCTAGTGAGGCGGTGAGAGCTTCTAATGCAATAGATTCTCACTATCTCGACGTAGATGAATTTTCTGTTTTTGTCCAGTTGTAGCTCGGCGATAACCGAATCTAGTATCAGCCCGACGTTAGCGTTCTGGATGGCGTTTCGGCTGCCTGAAACGGGGCAAATGTCCCCTAGCAGCTATAGGAGGTCTACCAGCAAAGTACTGGTCTACAGTCTTCACCATCCAACGTCGTTATGGGTGTGGGGAGCAAGTGTACCTTGGCAGCAAACTAG